AAAAGAGGAATTATAAGAATCAAAGACTTATGAAACCCAAGCTCCAAAGATTGGAAGATGACGGAACAGTTAATAATACACTTCGTTATGCTCATAATCTCAATCAAATCCTGGATCAGATAATTTTCACCTTACCCTTGGCTTGGTTGAAAACTCTAAAAAGAGGGTCTAAAATTAGGGAAGGAGATTGGGTGGTTAGGTTTCGGCCAGATGGTCAGCGAGTGGTAGGTCAAGTGGTGCACAACCTCCCATATGGCTCTCTAATAAATATTTTCAAAATGGACAGACATTATTTTCTGATACAGTCACAGTCTCCTTTGGAACCAATTTGTTTTTTTCCTCCATACCTCTATCGGGTTCTTTTCATATCCGCTACAAAGGGTTGGAGTCCTTCATCCAGAGTTTCCTATCCCGGAACTTCCAATAGACCCGGCCGAATAGGTCTGGCAAACTAGCAAGTGGGGCAGACCAAGGACCCTACAGTTAGTCACTGTGAAAGCAGCATACGTATTTCAGAAATATATTAGTATTAGATGAATGAATCTATTGATTGATTTATTGAAAAATTTTTGAATCAAAATCTTCTATTTATAAAAAAGTCAAATATGCAAATAGCAATTTGATTGTTATTTGTATATGCTTTGTTGAGCAAAATATATAACAGGATTCATTAATATCCCTACAAAACCAGATATAAATGTACATAAATAAATGCTTAATTCAATAGGATTCTGCTTAACGACCAAAGGTGGACATTGAGGCAATTCTGCAAGAGAGATGGATTAGACACCTGAATTTAGATATAAATTTACTCAAGGACATAACTTTCTTTTTTAAATATAGGACAAAGACCAGCTAAATTTGCTTCATTGCAATGGCAAATTGTACATCGCTGTCTATCCACAAAGGATTGGATTATTGATCCCTCTTCTTTGGAACAGAAAGGGTTAGCCACTCCATGGTGCACATCTTGTCTGTCCACCTTCCGAAAGAGGTAATGTAGAGAAACCACTTAGCACATTTTTATGCAATGCCCCAGTTCAATATTAATATTAACATGGCGCAAGTGAGATTGCGTATGGTGGGAACTAACGGATATAGACTGGCCTTGGGATTAGAAGGCAATCCTCTTAGGGCACTGGTTCCCACATGACCTAGGGCTTTCAATTTCCAACTCAAATTTTTTGAAATAGGTAGAAAACTAAGAAAAGCAATTTTATGGATACTATGGTATAAAAGGTGTGTTTTAGTAAGAGAAGAGGTAAATCTGGAAGGATCAAAGATGGTTGAACAAATTGTCCAATTTGTAAAAACCGTGATCAGAGCCCAATGGGCGGCTGTCACATCCAAATTACATAATTGTCAACAAAGGAAAGACATCCACAAGGCAATTCAGAACTTTACTGTGGACTGGCTGGGGGGTACTGGGGGAAAGAGACTGGGGGAGATGATATGGCCAGGGGAAGCAGGGAGGGAGGGATCCTTCAAAAGGAACTTCAAATTAATCTTCAAGGACTGGTTTACACCTCACTCACGAGCTCCTCTCAGATATCCAATCTTTTTTGCAGATCCTTTTCCCCCTTCTGAATTTGCCCTTGTAGAGATGCAATGTTTTGGCTTGGAAGGGAATTGACAATTTCAGGACAATCTTATGAGAGGCAGACGAAGTAGTGAAAATGTTATACCTGGCGCTTCCTAAGGGACTGAAGAGGCAACTGTGGCTTCTCAATTGTCTGTGCTCATCCTTAAATTATCACGGGATACTAACCCCGGTTTCCATCACAGTGATTTTTTCTGTTGTTCTCACAAGCTAAGCAGGCTGAGGCTGCTAGCATGTCTCGTCCACTCTATTCTTCCGGGTAGACTGTGAGGACACCGGCCTCGAATTCTATTTCTTGAGTAATACAAGCCTTGGGCACTGGGCCTGTTGTCAACAAAAAAAAAAAAAAAAAAAAAAAGAGTGAATAATATGTTTCTCATTTTCTTGTGCTGCATTTATTTACTCGACGGGACAAACATGTTTTTGTTGAAATGTTTATGACATTGGCCAATACATGTCTTGTGTGAGAGTACATGTCTTGTGTGAGAGTACATGTCATGTTTTTGAATCAAGTCTAGTTTTCACAAAATGTCTACTTTTTTTCCTTTTTTCTTTTTGGAAAACAGAGGCCCCTTCTAGTCTAGGGGCCAGCGGTCCCGTTGCTTATCACCGGCAAGCACGACCTTGCCCTCAAGGCTCGAGACACCAACAAGGGGTTACTGCTAGTGTCTACTTTTCTCGAAGTGCTTGTTTGATAGGCTTGAATTCTCTTTGATAGCTCAAAAAAATATATATATATATATATATATATATATATATATATATATATATCGTGAGTTATTATACTTTGAAAGATTCAAATAATTGGAAAAATTATGGAAGTTAATATTCTTGCTTTCATTGCAACGGCACTTTTTATTATTATCCCAACAGCCTATATATATATATATATTACATTTTGAACAAATCTTCCTATCGCCCCCTGGTCTGGGCGTTAGGCCTGTAAGACTGAATGGTAATCAAGCAATGTGTGACATTGCGTGTCTCTTGTCCCACTCGTCCCACACTTTACTACAGCCCTCACCCAAATAGAACTGCCGGTAATTATTGCCGTATCTGGACTGAAAGTTTGACCGAATAAAGATATAATGACCAGGCATTCTATTCAGGTGAAGTCATATTCACAACTAAACACCCGCCACTGGGACACTGCCCTAGGAAATCAGAGACTGCAAGAGAGAGAGAGAGATAGACAGATATTGACTGTGGGCCACGAAAATCATTGACAGTTCGTATCTCTCTCTTCATCTATACAAGTGGAAGTGGGGCATCAGCCTTGGAGACAGATGGAATGATATGTTTTCTTTAAATTCCCTTTTGAACTAACACCCAGAAAATGAAGAACACTGTAAACCAGCTAAAGCAAGACAAAAAAGAACACAAAAAATAAAACTAAAGAAAATCATAATGTTAAGAGAGGGCCTCGATATGTCTTTGGAATGCAATTTTTCTGAAACCACCACTACCTCTGTCACTCTTGGGAGAAATGGGAAAACTGGCTGTTTTCAAACTTTTTCCAAACTTTTCACGGGTCTGCAGAGGCTCAGCAGTTGGGCGTCGTGGGCGGCCAAGCACAACCGATCAGGTCATAACGCAGGGCGGAGATTTTTATTTCTGACAAAAGTACTTCACGATTTTTTCTTCATAACCAAGTCGCGTTCCGGACACCTGTCTATTTCGTATGGTGTGCTTCTTCTTCCATCTAATCTTTCTCTTCCTCTTGAGGTATCTTTTTCTATCTTTTTCTTCTGCTTTTTTTTTTTTTTTCCCCCCTCCTTTTTGCTGTTGTGCATTTGAGGAGCAAGATTACGGCCATCTTTTTGTCGTCACTCTATGCATGACATACTTGTGGGTCCGTTCGAAGAGCAGAACGAAAAACAAAAGACCAAGTCAGGGAAGACCCTGCACAAAGTTGTGCTCACACCAATACTCACAAGAAAGTATCTAACTACGATTGTAACCAGTCTCAGGTTTTCATTGCCGGTGTTTTTGTTTTGTTACTTTTTTTCTTTTGTTTCCTTGCCCTGCCAGGGAGGCACAGCACATTCCACCGTCCGCTAACACTTTGTGAAGGAGGGCATGCCCACACCACAACTTCGCAGAATGTATGAACCCCCTTTCCCCCCCTAAGTTCAGTTCAGTTTCTCTTTTTGTTTTTTTTTTCTCTTCTTTTTTCCGTGGACCTGACACCCTGCTGTAATGCCCTCACTGAGGCCATACTCACACAACAACATTCTGGCAGGTATCACGTCCAGAGAGTTCTTTTTCCTTTTTGTAGTTGTGAGTACGTCGTTTTTCAAATTCCGGCCATCCAGCGGCCTATCTCAGTTGGTAAGGCACGCAAGTGGCATTCAGGAGGTCTTGGGTTCAATCCCCATTGGCCTCATGCACCTTCCTGGGCAAGCTTGCCGCCCGCCACCCCCCCAGTGACATTGAGCAGAGACTGCTGCTGTTCATAGGGGGAGGGGACCGGAGGGGAGGCACAGTGACTGGCCCATCGAAGAAGCTCGGTCCTGATGCTACCATCAGGCTGACCCGTGGCCGGTATCGCCCACCTGCTGTAGCAGGTATCGCACCTGCTGTTGGGTGCAGCTCCCGCATGTTCCCTCGCTGGAGGCTTGAGCACGGATGTAGCTGCTATGGGGGTTCCCGTAATACTAAGAGGACAATAAAAAAAGGGCTGAAAGGTCGTCCTGTCCAGATTCGACAGGTAATTGAATTGGTTGGGCTAAAAATTAGCCTTAAAAAAAAAAAAAAAAAAAGTTCGGCCGTTCTTTTTTTCTTTTTTGCAATGGCGTACCAGAAAAGAAACACAACAGACCCCAGGCTCGGCAAAACACAGGGCGCAGTGAAAATTAGCATGGGCAAAGACAGGCTCGCAGAGGTAGAGCTGGTTAAAAAAAAACAAAAATAAGATAATGATAAGGTGAGTTTTTTTTTTCTAACTATGCTATATTCTTCTCTCAATTTTTTTATCATCTTCCAAATTCTTCCAATTCACCTTCACTACCTACCACTCCTAGGGCTTAGACAGGGGACCCCTGCAAACATAACTTCGTTATCTCCCTCCAGCGATCAGAAGAATCAAGCTGGTTGGCACTAAGTGCTCCGCAGGCGGTTCTCGGGTTCAAACCCACAACCTCCTGAATGCCACTTGCGTGCCTAACCATCTGATCTAGGCCGCTGGATTAGCATGGCCCTGCATAAGGATGACACACATAAATCGAGAAATGGTCCTTAAAAAAATAATAAAAAAAAAAATAGACCACACACACACACACAGACGAACAAGCCCAAAAAATTGATATGTGAATGATATGTCCTCAGTCCATTGAAAAGCAAAACAAAAGTCTATCGGATAAAAAGCAAAGCTTAGTGTTCTCGATGCTTGCCCGAGTATTGAGGTCTCCAGTCTTTGTTGTTGAATTTCTTAAATAAATATATTGTGTTAAGCCCCTGCTACCATTCCCATATGTCGCCGGGGGCAACTACAGTAGTAGTCTACTCCTGAAAAATAGCACAGCGCCGCCGTTCATATTTTTTCATAGACGGCACTTCAAATTTGAATTTGCGGCCCGCCGCCCCGCATATGACAAAGGTAGTGGTTTGAAAGGGAAAACAAAACAACAATAAAAAAGCAAAATGTGGCAACAGACACCTTCAAGTTGGTAGTAATCATGAACCAAGAACCAAATCCGATGCTCCATCAATCAAAGACCGACTTCACACAAACTTTGGCTGTTGTTGCATGGAACACAACACATAGCACCACTCAAAAATTGGAATAGAGGCCCAGAGACACCATGCTCCCCACGAATAGACTGGAGCATTTGTCCCAAAAAAAAACAAAAAAAAACAAAACAAAAAGACACCATTCAAAACTTTATAAAGGAAAGAAGAAAAGCATCAGCCTCTGCACCAAGACACGCACCAAGGCAGGGTGCAGAGATATTTATAGCACGCCTAGGATAACTGTGTTACCCGGAGGGACTTGCTGGCTCTTAGTGTTTTTCAGACAGCTAGGGACACTCCCAATGGAAGGAGATTTCGGCATACATACACACTGTACATTCCGTCTTATCCTCAGCAACAAGTGATCTATAATCATTCTCCCTCCTCCCAACCCTCCTCACGGCAACACCACTCTGCCAATGGTATCACCTCTCTCTCTCTCTCTCTCTCTCTCTCTCTCTCTCTCTCTCTCTCTCTCTCTCTCTCTCTCTCTCTCTCTCTCTCTCTCT